ATGTGTGTTACTGTAATATTAAACACCTTGAACTTTAGATTAATGCTTACTGAAAATGTGACGTTAAGCGTTTACAAAGTCAGAAATCACGTGATAATTCTAGAGAGAGCAATGTCAGCTAAGCAGAGGCGGCATGTAGACCATACATCTATGTTGGTTTGTGAAACATCTTGCATGTCCTCTAGCAATGCTTAGATAACAGTCAGCATTCAGGGGGGAAAAGATCTGACAGGACCAGAAGAATATAACAACACAAGGAATCGTAAAGGATAGGTCGCCAATATAAAGGATGATTCTTGGAGATATGTTTACAGCTGCAAAGATTAATGTTAGGTACATCACTTGATGTCTTTGTTTCTTTCTGTAGTTTGTGTATTTTATTGCTTAGGGCCATTTTGTCTTTAAAGACATATCATTTATGGATGAAACAATGTAATCTCGATTTTCTTAAATGGTTTATATGCATTTGGATCATTTGTAATGTTTTGTGTCGTAAGAGATATGCCATACCCAGTGATTGTTGTGACACATAGCTGTTATTTTTTATGAAAGCATTTAAAGCTCCTGGTGTATCAAGAGTCATATCAGCACATTTAACTGTCTTTTAATTAAAAAAATAACTGATGCAAAACAGCTGCGTAGTGATATTAGTGCACGGCACATTGTTAGTAGGAAAACTGAAAATTCTTGATGAAAACAAACGGCGAATTACACAGTTGCTTAGCTTCAGTAATGAAATAATTAGTTCTCAGCGGATCAGTATAAATCGATCCAATCGGAAAATCATGTTGATTTTTTTTCAGACTAAAAGCAAAATATGACTATTAATATAATCGTTTAAATCGTTAAAGTGAACATTTAATCTCAGAGAAAAGAATGGTTTATAACCACATTAGTCCCATATTAGTTTTAAGAGTTAAAATGACACGCTACATTTATGTATCTGCCATGGGCTATCGTATCTAACCGGCGTTGCTTTCCTGATTCACAGTTGTAGCCAACGTCAAAGAGCGATTCTAAACTGATATGGATTTTGTGGCGGCGAGTTCTTTTAATGTTTGCGGCGACTTTGATCTAAAAATGTAATCTGTTTAAAGCATGCAAAACACCTTTGTGCCAGGAACTAACTTACACTCGGTTAATAACCACTGCTTTGGGTTTATGTGTAACAGGTTAATCATGCATAGCGGTTAGGGGACTAAATTTATTTTTTTTTATTTTGCAACAGCTTTAGGCGTCAGATCTACAAATGATATGATAGGACTGTTTCTTTTATTTATGTAGAATTTGCATGGTTTCTTCACTTTAAGCTCCTTACCATTCCTTTGTCAACTGCTAAAACAAGTCTTGTAACTGCGTAACAGTAAGCTCAGTAAATAATGGATCGGTGAGTTCGAGATTCGGACTTGGAACATGATCTTTGCAACGATGCCGACGACGACGATGATGCCGATGGTGAGTTTTAGGACGATATTAAAATGGTATTACACAGTATTCATCTGATGCTATTTCAAACGCGTCACTTTTCTGTTCCTTTCAAAATCAGCACAATTCAGGTTCACAACCCTTTGATTCAAGTAAGATATATTGTCCAGCACTAAATGGGTAAGACACTCAGCAATAAAAAGACAAGTCAGAAACAACCGATTACATGTAGTTAGAAATGTTTTCAGAGAGCTCTTTCTTTTTCTATTTTTTTTTCATACTTTTCGTTTCGATTAATAATGCAATCTCAATTAAAATACACGGGATGCTCGAAAAATATAATGTCTTAGGGAGTGGTCAAAAACATATTATTGAATTATTACAGCAATTAAAATGGACATATTTCACTGTGTATAAAGTATTTAATTATCTAAATATTCTAAGCCATTCAACCTTATATATTACATGAAACTAGGGTATCCCTGATAAAACACTGACCAGATATATATTTACGTTGTTGCTTACACTGACTTTCTTGTCTATAAGATGACATTTGTTGTTTTTCAATTATTATTATTATTTACTTTTTATTGGTTTATTTATATATTCATTCATTCATTCATTTTTGCAACATGCCTTCAGGAATTCCTGGCTAGAACTTTGAAATATAAGATATGTATATTCTACGTGATTTGGCTTTTCAGTCTACTTGAATGTAGACTTTGAATTTTAGAAATAAAAGTATGTAAAAATAAACCGCATGATATATAAGAAAATTAAATATTTGTTATGTATAACTGACCCTTAATTGACCCTTAATTTGCTCTTTTTCTTCGAACGTATATAATTAATCTTCTTTTTTAATTATGAAATAACCAGTAATGATGCCGTATGGGGCATATATGTTAATGTGCTAAGTAGTGCTCGTTCCCATGATCCCTGGGTTGAGAGTCAGATTGTATAAATCTCCACCTTAACTTGCTGACATTTTATATTGATGACTTCACCGCAGTGGGTTCGAATCCCGCCACGAACTTTAGATTCTTTGTATGTAAGGAAGCTATCCAGCTAGCTTACGGAATCTCAGCGGTTTTTACTCAGATGCCTGTGTGTGCCAGAAGTAATGCATGAGGGGGCATCTGAAGTCTTCCTCTTCCAGCAAAGCGGAAAAAGTCGCCTTATGACATTTGCAGTGTCGGATTGACTTACGACCCAACAAAACAAAATTTATATTGATTATTTAGACTATATAAGGCAACTCCCGTATTTCTTTCAAACAAAAATATTGTCAGTACAGACGGGAGGTAACTTGTCTTTTAAAACCAGGTTCACATGTACATGGACAATGTTATCGCGTTATGTGTCAAAATTGTTCCAATTCTCGGAACGGAGTGGATATGAAAATGCATAAACGAAAATAACCATAGTTTCCGATTGTAAGTAAATTGGAGATAATATTTATTAAAATTTAACTGGACGGTTCATTTGTTTATAATTCTGTGCCAATAAGATACATGTGTATTTTAAATATAGAATATGACATTAGAGCATAGGATGTTCTAGAATAAGATATAATAAGAATTTTATAGAATAAAATATTTTATCTTATTCTTATAAGCACAAGAAAACACACGAGGATTATAAATATTCCCACCATTTCATTCAGTAATAATGGACATAACTCGGAATGCTTACTAGCAACACGAGCGTTGTTGTAGAGGTACTTTGCAACAAATTTTGTTAAAACAACCTTTTAGTTCAGCCTACTTTTGGTCCGGGTTTTTTTGTGCAATTAATTTGTGTGGAACTCCTTAAAGTAATTCGAAATTTACAAAAATGTGCAACAACACTTAAAGCACTGTATAATTTAGTTGGTTTCAATTTTATTTTCGTTGGTTTCAATTTTATTTTCCACTGTAATTTTCGGTCTTTACAAAAGTTCATTTTTCGACTCCAGAAATAATTTTGGGCTTTAGTACTTAATTTGATGGTAAGCTGTTTTTAAAAGTACTTTAATCTTTTGTCTTTAAAGGAACTCCACTCAGGTCCAAAAGCCTAAAACATAAAAAAATTGAATTTCTTACAGAGACCAGCTTGGGCACTGAAAACAGAAAAATATGCAAAAGATAGTAAAGAAATATATTCAGAACTGTATTTTTGTGCTACTCTTAGCCCGATTTAAGTGAAAAGCGTTTCAATTATGGGTCATTTTTCACAATTGGAATAATTAATCTGGAAAAACGGAGTGAGCAAATTACCTGAAATTTAGGACACAAGTTATTGGTCTAGACCGACCTACATCAAATGGAACATTAATCTAGAAAAATTATTTCCAGTCTCGCCGTGTCAAAAGTCAAAAAATCTCAGTGAAGTCCCTTTTAAAACAAACATCTAAGTAAGGATTCCCAAAAGGTTTAAAATGTGCCATCATATCAAGAACTTGTTCAATTAAACTTTCAATGGACGAGTACTCGTAAAAACTTTTGCTTATTTTGTAAAACAAAAACGTATATCCGGTAACATCATTTAATGAATTCTAAACAAGAGCACCCTTTTGTCAGACGCCGAATCTTTTAAAAAGCGGAAGCATCCGTCTTTCCCGAAATTGCCATTTTCGCTCGATTAGCAGACGACATTATTAATGGTTTTAGTGCCTGAAAATTAATAGCGATTTCGTTAAACAACGACATGGGCCTTGTACAAGTAATTGCCTTCTGCCATAAGTAAATAGTTTTTGTTTCGCTAAATTAGCATTATATTTAAAGCACACAAAAACGTACGTTTTTACACGTGTTAGTTTCGCGGGCTTTTGATCAAAACGCCAAGAAAAATATAGTGTTATGTTTTACGAATATTGGATACAAATTAAAAACTTTTCGCTACATTTAAACCCAAATTAACATGACATAAAATCCTCGCCTTATTTCACGGTTCACTGATTCTGGTTTTTATTATTTTTTGTTCGTCTTTAAGTGGATAAACCGGTAAAATTTTGTTTATCTGAAATGCTATTAAAGATCTTGTTTCCAAAGCGATGCTGATCTGACTTTGGGGCAGACTTAATGTATTTAAGCGAGTTTCGGAGAGTTTTGTTTAGAGAAAATAATTTCTATAAAGAAAATTCATGTGCAGAAGTATTCCTTACGATAACTATTTCTGCATGTTAAAGATTTTTAGCTGCATTTTACGTTTATACATGCTTGAAAAATCTTTGGATGGTTTAGAATAGTCTATTAGACTACTTCTAAAACTTAACCTTTAATTCCAGATCTTTTAGAGGCGAATCATAATGCTGGAACAGAATACTTTTCTCGGGACTTCAGAGATCGCGAGATTCTTACTATGTAAACATCTTATTTCAATAAATTATTCTGTATAATTATAAATAAGCTGGAGATGATAGATGTAAAATTCTGGTCAAAATGCTTTTTTCTTCTTCTTTTTGCAAAACATAAAACCGCATAAATAAGGCCAAGCAAATTCTTATTTTGCTGGTCAAATGACGGTTTGAAATAATTTGCGATTTATTCTTAATTGTGGCCAAATGAATTTATTGAAAAAAAAAGAGAAATGGATTATATTAAATAATTTATTTCCATAAAGAAAGAAAGTGCTGACAATCACTAAACCTCATGACATCTATTGCAGTCATCAAAAAACTTGCATACCCATGTGCACCTAAACATTTCAATACATTTAAACCCAAATTACATAACATTTTAAAACAAACTGGCTTGTAAAAATTATATAAAAGAAAAGTATTAAAAGTTGTGTCCAATCTGTAAATACCGGTTCATCAAAAAAAATTGTAAATACGACACCCTCTTTCTATCCCTTTTACTTTTACACAATAAAGCATTCAATAAAGTAACTTTCAGAAAATTAGCAATAATGTTTCCCAAATTTACTCCCCTTTGTTCTTAAATGCGATAAATATATTTTAAATGCAGAAACTGAATTCTTATTCTTGATATATTTTATAAGCCTGGAACGATGTACATTGCATTCTTATCAGATCAAGGTCTATTACAAGTGTTTACAAACATAACAACCTTTTTTGCGAGATTTGAAATATCCTCAACAAAATACTATTTGACTTTAAACTGACTTGAAATATTGACTTTAATTGTGCAATAGTGCTTATGGTTAAACAAAGTTTGTGGCTTACACTTTGAACAGATGAATTTAACGATCAGCCTCTAAACCCTCAAAAGAAGCACATGTACAACATTTTACTTATATATTCCCACAAGCAATACCTAACATGCATTGTTTACCATATAAGATATTCACGTGAGCATAGAGAGTCATACATTTTGAGAAAAATGTTGAGGAAATACTGGCAATTGTCCGGCATAAGCAGTCCTTGCCTTCAAAAGACTATACGACCCTAGTGTTGGAAAATAGGGATGCAGTCCATGAGTATACAACATACTTCCGAACGGTGAATTGTACGATGCCGCACTTCCGGTCGGTGGAATTGTGGGACTATTTACGTCAAGACCCGGATTTTGTTTCTTCCATTTTGTTCTTCGGTTCTGGAACCAGATTTTGATTTGAGTTTCTGTTAGATTTAATGACAGAGCGAGGTTAAGTCTCTCACAAACTGATAAATATCTGGTAGTTTTGAATTTATTCTCCAGGGCCACTAATTGCTCGTATGTAAATGCTGTCCTAGCGCGTCTTGGTTTCCCGCCTCTTGAAGTGTCGTCTGCGTGAAGTTTGTGCTCCGAGTCGGAAAGATCATCTATATCACAATTACCCATGCTGTCGTCGTCGGAAAGAGTTTGATCGCCATCTTGTTTGTAATCGTCAACGGAAATTTTCTCGTCCGCAGGGCAATTGTTTAAATCTGAAAGTAGATAGACATATTTTTGAATATATATTTCACAACATAATTAATTAAAGGTAGTTTAAATGTGATATATATTTACAAATAGCGTGTGCTTTTTTTAAGAACACCTCAACTATGTTAACGAAATGATACTTAAGTATGAGAAAGAAATACATATAGTGTTTTTGTACTGATTTAAAATTCAACTGTAATTTATAAGCAATGCTAAAGATAACAATATATATCAAAACAAAAAAGAGAAAAAGTTGATGATTTTGGTAAACTTTTTGCAAAATACAGTGAAACTCTTTGTTCAAACCCACCACTGAATGAAACGGACATGTCGAAAATTAAGTTACAAAAGGCAACCAATTTATTTTCTCGGTGTTATAATTGCATGTGAGATATTCGTTTATTTATAGTCGCCAGGGGAATTCCATGTGGGCGACTCACTCCAGGAAGATAGTGGTTAATCAAAATTTTGGAACCTAGAAATTACTCCATTCCACGAAAAGCAACTTCATGTATGTGTTCTTTTATGTGCAATGTGTGAAGCATCGTTACTTAAGACCTCACTTTTTAAAATCACGCCCGAAAGTAAATTGAAATATACTGGTATTTACAGTAAAGTAAATGTTTAATTGCTTTTATACACCGACACTCAGCAAAACGGAATTCATTTTTTCCTTGTGGAAAGACTGGTATTTTAAGGACAGGTTTGACTGTAGCGCGAAACAAATTACTGAGACTATTATGATAAGCCTATCGTATGGCATGAAATCGTAACTAATGTCAGTGTCACATTTTGTGGATTGTTACCACGTCAATCTAACAAATGCTCGTGCCAATCAACAGATAGCTCGTGCTAAATGTGGCATGACGTGGGAAATTTTACACCAATCAGCAAATTGTTCAGATAAACGTTTAAACGCTGGTTCTAAGGAGATTATTAATTAGAGCTATTAGTCATAATATTAGTTAATAGACGCGTTTTGATATTTTATATCACGCACATCTCGGTATAAAATAACATCAGCTTTTAATTGATTTTCGTTTTAAAGTACATAAATATGTTGTTCGATTTAATTAGGGACTAGCTTAATATACGAGGTGATAAATATGACCATCATGTCTTGGACGCTTGAAGGAAAATTTAACATGCACGAAATTCTCGTATTGACCAGCTCCTTCGACTAACCTAAAGCTACACGGAAGTCAAAACTACCAAACGCGATCATAGCGTTGTTGTTGTTGTTTTTTGTTCTTGCTGTTGTTGTTTTAAACTGAATCTTAATATCTAAATAATTTACTTTTTTGATGGCTTTTTTGTGTTTGTTTGTTTGTTTGTTTTTTTAAACTGATATTGGCATTCCAAACGGCACAACGGTTCTGTTGTTGGTGTTGTGACTGGTTGGTGGTGGCCAGTCTCTTTTTTAAAGGCGTCGAAAAGACAATGATTTGATAGCAATTAATTTCTATAAAATAGAAAAGTTGCAAAAATTATATCTGAATTAATACAATAAGCATTTAACTACTGGTAATTTCTTAAATGTTCACCATTAAAGCCATATACAGCGTGTTAATGCAGTCGTCTGAGAAATAGAGTATTTCACTTGCTGTAAAGCAATTTGCATTCAATCCAAAAATCTTTCCCAATTAAAGCTAAACACAATAGACATGAGGAAACAGTTATGGGTCCCTAGGCCTCGTTCAAATGAGATTAATTGACAGATTATGTCCCTTTAATAGCATTACGAGACCTTCTACACAGCACAATTTGTCAGCGCACTGAAGAATTCCTAGGAAAGGCTTGTAATGGGAAACATAAATATACATAGGCTTGTTCTTGGTTGGGTTGTTTTATATTTAAAATGCTTTATTTTTGTAAAAGATTTATTTGCACTGCCTTGAATTCGGAACAATCCATATTAATTCAAAGGGGTTGCAATATCTAAAGAGCAAAATTTGAGCGGACAATAGGTCAGAGCATGACTTGATTTCACGTGAATAGGGACCGGCGTCACTGCGTGTGGCAGCCGTAAAAAGTTGCCATGTACTTGACTTCAGTGTTGCTATACTTTTTTGGTCCTTCGGGATGTTGAGTACCGCTCAAGCCGGTGTTAGGGGGCGTGAGGGATGTTGCACTTTTCATTATCCCTCATGTACAAATTCAATCACACTGAGTCTGCAATTTTCATGTACAAACGTAATTTTATTGTGATTGAGGGATCACACCTTTACCAGATTTTTATCCTGGTGACAAAAAAAACACATGTATATATTTCTAACTGAAGGGTTCCTCATAATATTATTCACATTAAATTTCCAGAAGCCAACTTAAAACATATTCTTTGCAAGGACTATGGGACAGGAAAACGGTTTTACCATCTTCTTTCCTTACAACATTTGATGATGTTTTATATAATTTTATGAACAGCAAGAAAACGAATTTATTTTGAATTATACTGACTTGAGTTATGGAGATATTTATTCATGTATTTGGGCTTTTTTATGTAGACTAAATAAGTACTTTACAGCTATAACTGGATCCCAAATCACTGCGGTTAGTCGTTAGTAGAAAATTTTACTTTAATCACACATTAATATTAATAAAAGTGTGGAAGTGTGAGAATTTATTCATAATTGAAAGGTTGATCACACGAAGAAAGAAACATCTTTACTTCAATTTAAAACGCAATTTTCAACTAATTCGAAATAACTTTAATTCTAATGATGCGTTTTATAGTTTGTGGGTGAAATAAGTGGAAAGCGTTTAAGGTAACTCATTACCCAAATACGTTATCCATTCATCGGTCGATTAAACTAATAAATGCCATGTTTTTCCCTTCTCCCGCATCTTTTTAATAATGTATTTATGTCTCTTTGTGTAATTCCATTTAGAATATGCAAAATATATGACGAATTTATGCAATTTCAACCTTTCTCTGGTGGTTTTTGCTTTTATTTGTTAAGTTTTCGTTGATTTTTCATCATTTCTATACAAATGCGAAGATTTTATCAATACAATATTATGAAATGATATTATGTTATCTTACATCTTCCTTCAGTTGCTTTTATGTTATTGTTGTTGTTTGTGTTGTTGTTGTTGTTGTTGTTGTTGTTGTTGTTGTTGTTGTTGTTGTTGTTGTTGTTGTTGTTGTTGTTGATTGATGATGATTGATGATGATGATGATGATTATGATGATGATGATGATGATGATGATGATGATGATGATGATGATGATGATGATGATGTTTTATGTAGCAGTACATATATAATCTTACTAATAAAGTAATAATTTGTAAAGATAGTGATGGCATTTGATGTAATATACAAATATTTCCTGTCATGTATTGTTCAATAATTTCAAATTTCAAGAAATGTCCATGTTAAGACATTGTCTACGAAATATACTGCGGGAACGAGCAGAGCTTAAAACAACGACCAAACTGTCCAACGAGCGAAATGTTTTGTTAAAAAAAATATAATTTTAATATGTCTATATAGAAAGTACATTTTGATTGACTAAATTGAGATTCATTATAATGAGATAATAAAAAATATATGTTCTGTTATGTTCATAATATCATTGCATATATAATTTCAATATTTCAAATACAACTATACATAATATAAATGTTTTCACCAATAGTTTTCATTATTCTCTCGATTTAAAATAAGGCAACAAATAAACAAGAAAATAAAATATTCTTAAAGAAATTAATATTTGTTGAATGGTTGTACATATATATGAATTGTGTTACCTATTTTAAAGTTAAACCTGGTTGAAATTATTTCGGAGCCGGATGATCATTTGAGCCGCGTCACGACAAAACCAACATAATGCGTTTGCGACCAGGATGGATTCAGACCAGCCTGCGCATCCGCGCAGTCTGATCAGTATCCATGCTGTTCGCATATAAACCCTATTACAAGTAGAGAAAATGACAGCGAACATCATGGATCCTAATCAGACTGCGCGGATGCGCATCCTGGTCCGGATCCATGCTGGTCGCAAACCCATTATGTTGGTTTTGTCTTGACGCAGCTCATTTGTTAAATGCTATATTTGTTTGGGGTGTGTGAAATGATATATTGAGTATGGGTAAGAAACTAAATTAACTTTTTTTCTTCTTTTATAACCCCGATAACCGCGTCCAAGATTGACCCTTCAAAGTTGACGTATGACGTATGATTCGCTTATTGCATTCGATAATATTATTTAACTATTACATATTGCACACGTAACTTATTTACGATCCATTGTTGTCCTAGTTAACTTTTTTTATTTTTGTATATGAAACGATGCAATAGCATATTTGTACATGTCAAAAAAAAGAATGTATATCCTGTTCTGTCCAGTCTTGTTTTGTTCTGTTCTGTTCTTTGATTGTTTGCCCCCAAAATCGCACGCGCAAATTATTGTTATCTTTGTTAAGATAGTTAACGATCTCGGGCACCATTTTAAACGTTAAAATAAAATATCATCAAGACTTTGCGTTAAATGGAGGGTGAAATATACATTTTACACTCTCATTTATTGATTTAATCATATATCGGTGTTCTTCACACGGGAACCTTTGAAGTTTGAAAAATAATTGTTCAACTCTCATTTCCAGATAGGAATCTTGTTACTTTATTTTTTTTCTTTAAAAAATGAAATTGAAGAAACTTTTATAAAAAAAAATGTAATGAACACAATTTAATGCGCTTTAGTGATAAAGACAATTTTTCCCTCAAAGTGTTGGTTTTTGTTGAAATTGTTTATTGCCTTATTTAATACATTTTGCATAACATAATTGCAAAGTTGATGGTGCATTTTTGAACGTAGAAATAGTTTATACAAAAGTTACTACATTTAATCCAGCATTAAAGTGTTTAATACACTTAAAATATTTTAACAGATGATTTATTTTCTAAAATTGGATGCAGGAACATGATTTTTTCAGCATTGTTTATTTTATTTATTTTGTACTCATTTATTAGGTCTTTTTTAATTATGTTAACTATGCGTTTAAAAAGTGCTCGTAAAATTTGAATAAAGAAATGATGGTACATAATTAAATGCATATCTATTTACATAAACGATAACTACGGTACTAAAGAAGAATTTCATTTGAAAAAAAAGGAAAACATATTTGAAGAAACAAATTGCTTCTCCATAATGAAATTATTTTCATCAATTTAAATGGACTAAATGTGTATTAGAAAAAAAATACAGTTACAAGTCTTCGCTACATTAGAAACTATTTAAAATATAAAAGAAAAAAAGAAAAGAATAGAAAGAAAAAAAGAATCCCTATAAAGAATGAACAAAACGACAAAATTAAACGGTTGCAGACTCGAAAACTTATATATACATATTTCTAGAAATTTAATTTTAAAAGAATAGAAAGAAAAGAAGAATCCCTAAAGAATGCACAAAACGACAAAATTAATACGGTTGCAGACTCGAAAACTTGCATATTTCTAGAAATTTAATTTTAATGCGTATAAAAAACAACAAATGATGGTGCTAAGTCACTTCCCTTTTAAATTCATTATTTTCGAACATACTTTATGTCAGTACATTCATAAGGAAGAAAATAGAGAGAATTTAAGAATGCCTGTCTAACGTAAATGACGCGAGACGTTAGATTTGACGCCGACAAACCGGCACAGGTGACTAAACAAAACAGCTGAATTCACGTGCAACCATGTGTTACCGAACACGTGTAAATGTCAAGAGAGAGAAAAAAATGACTTCCGTTTATTCAGATAGTTAGCACTGTATGATTTTGAATTAATGATTCCTCAAAAAAACATTCTTAGTACGTTAGAAATGAAAACGAGCAAAAATAAACAGTTAGAAAAAATCAGTTTCGGTATATATTATGTGGGGTAAAAAAGAATCTTTTGAAATTGGACAACATATACCAATAAAAAGTACTCTTTAAATGAGGTAAAATAAATTCAATTTGGTTTCAAAATAGAAGGCTTCAATTAGTTAATTAGATATTAAAATATTAAATTATCTGTGTTTGATTTTCAAAGAGATAAAACTCATACGAAAGACTCAAATATTCAAACAGTCAAACAAAAAAAGGTCCGGTGATTATTACACTACAATCAAATTGAAAAGTTGTTGCATAACAAATGTGTATACCAACTCATTCATGTCCGCTCAATTTAATACATTATTAATGAAATTGATTATTTAATGCAGATATTATATGTAATTGTAGTACAGGTTTTTATTAAATATGACGTCACCAACCTTTAATACAATAAGATAATCAATAAGTGATATTTAATACTTTTTATTATCATTCTCCTTTAAAATTATTTTATATTCCGAATCGCCTACAACGCGGGTGCATGCTTATAGTAAAAAACAAACACCGTATTTTACTTTAACGCTGTCTCCATTTGTTTAAAGCGGCCGGCTTGCCAATTAAGAATAAATAATATATCACGGAGTATTTATATATAACCCAGTGACAGTTTTCGCATTATTACTCAAAGCCAGGAACCATTAATTATAGATGTATTCAATAAACTGTGTGAATGAAATGGTATCTTTTTTAAAGCTCGTAAAATGACATCTATTGATGGGTGTTTCAAGTCAATTAGGAATAAATATTTAAAGTTAAACACTAAAGGAAAGTAAAAAAAGATAGTCCAATAGGTAGATAAGGGATCTATGACCATAACAACAAAGTTACAATACAATTAAAGTCGACTAATGTAAATGTTACATATACGTAAGCGAACTGGTAAATGTTACATACGTAAGCGAAATGGAGTTCTAAACTGGTATATACTACTATATACCATAGTGGCGTTGTGATTTTCATACAGAAAAAATTCTTTACAGAAACTAAAAAATATTTATTCCTTTTGAGTTTTGTTTTGTTTAAATAATGGTTTTAGAGCATGTGGGACGTTTGATACATGAATAAAGTAGTGCCAAATGTGAAATAATTTGTCATGAAAGTAACAAAGTGTACATAAAGTAGTGTTTTGACTTCCGTACAAAATACTAAATTACTATAACTTTTCTTACTGTCAAAAAGCAACCGAAGAAAAAGTCGGTTTAGATAGGGTCTTTCAAATTTGAAAGACCCTGGTTTAGGTAATTGGCAAAACGTTTTGGAATATATAAAGTAAAAAAAAAAAGGTTTTTGAGGAAGAGAAATAAAAACATTTCTAGGTATAGTGGGCCTTTAATTACTTACATTTCCAATAGAAAATGAACCAATAAATGTAGAAATATTTGATTACATTAGAAAGATCAATGTATAACGAATACACCTAATAATAAGATAGAGTGTCCATCGTTCTGATGCTATTTCATTACATGTTTGACCACATATATACTACATAATAATACGTTTGTAAAATTCATTGTTTCATCATACATGAAGCTTTATTTTTAAAAAAAAACTTCTCAAAATGAAGACGGTCAGGGAAAATGTGTGGATGTGGCGTGATTATGGTAATATATTATCAGTTATTACTGAAATTAAGTCCAAAAGTAATGCTTAGTTTAAAATAAGTTTACAAGGTTTTGGTTTACTTTTTCATATGTTATGTATAATACTTTTTTTAATATGTAATATATTATACTTTTTGATATGTAAGTCATATGTAAAATATTATACTTTTTGATATGTAAGTCATAATGCTTTTTGATATGTAATGTATTACACATTTTTATATGAAATGTATAATACTTGATACCTTTACTTGAATATATTATTGTTTTGAACATTTTGAATGATTGTATTTTTATATTACATGTACAATAAAATCAAACATGTATCTAAACAAATTTATATTGATTATTTTCATAGGCTTAACTGGCTTAAAGTGATATTTGAGTAGAAAGTTTTGACCACAATTAAATCTCTCATCGGCCAATATTTATGCTAAGAAATAAATTATAAAATAAATGTTAAAAGGTGTCCAAAATCTTAAATTTTAATTAGTGTTTTAAGTAGTAATGTTGCATAAGAGCGTCCCCGACGAGCATATCTAAAATCAAGTATAAATATAAAAAGGACGAGTCGTATTTATATTATTTGCACTTGAGAACTTCAAACGAATTTAAATTTACTGATTATTTCAATCTCAAGTAGTTCGTGATTTTATCATTTAAGTCAACGATATTAACTAGTTTATGGTGTGAGGTATTCTATCGATGGGTAGATCGTAAAAGTTCGGTAATTTTCGTTACGTTTCGTACTACATATGTATATATATTTAAAACAACAGTGAGTTTATAAGATTTCATTTTTTTCTCATTGTCTATAAAATGCTTATATGCTTTTGACGACACGGAGAGTGTCAGAATTTGTCGGAAATTAACGAGCTCGTAATATATTTTATTATCTTGTCCTTATGGCACTGGATCAGTTTTCATTCCAAAGAACTAATATTCAGTCAAAAGTATTATGTAAGTTAAGAATAAACTGCGCACGGCAAGTATAAAACAAATCATACAGGTTCGAACCTCTTACATGTAAGTCTGTCTATTTACAGTCGAGCCACAGCAAACGTTGTAAATTCATTTTTACAATACATGTAGTAATAAGGTAATATGTTAAGAAATGGATAACAATTTTCACCAGATGTGTTATGTTATACTGTAAGAATATTCAAATTTATGTTGTCATACCTTTGTTTTCTCTGTGCATTTCTAAATTTGACCTGGAGTAATCTCTAACACCTTCGTCCCGAAGCCAAGGGTGCCAGACCCGGGGTTCAGAATGACAACCGACGAACTTGTTAGGGTCTAAAATATCAGTCACTGAAAACGCCGTTGTTTTTACTCTGTTTGTGTCAATATCATTTTCATTGTTATTATCAGTCGTATTTTGGTCGTGTTTTATATCATTAAACACTTTATTATCGTGTGTGCCGCAATCGGTTTCTACTTCTAAACTTGTCTTTTCGTCAACACTTCCGTGAAGTCTAAGTTCTAATTGTTTATCACGATCATCTTTCCCAGTCACCAGACTTTCTTCGGCTGATTTTGTCTGGTTACATTTTGTTAAGTCCTGTGAGAGTTTATTTGATATTCTAGCCACACATTGCCCTGGTATTTTCGTCGTGGAACTCTCATGTTGAGAGCTGTTGACAGATTTTACATCCTTATCATTAGCACGATATGTTTCCAAGTACTTCCATCCATGGGGAATACCCATGGTTTCTTTGTCAATGTCCATTGATGGCATTTCCATTTGAATATGTATTGAAAAGTATGTATAGAATCTTTTATAGTTGTAAACGCCTATGTTCCCTCACACTATAGATAATCCGTTGACTTTTCCAAAATGTGTACAAATTTACACAGATAAAATGTTCATTTTCTTTTACACATAAGAGATCATAACTATCTTCGAATAAAGATTCATTTTGTCCCCGTTTCTGTAAATAATGTACAAATATATTTATGATATCTCCAAAGTATTCCCGCACCCTCGTGTACCCAACTCCGTCGTATAAACTCAATTATCAAACACTATTTGGATAGGAGCCTTCCACACAAATTATATTATTGTCATCAATTATAAATATTATTTGCTATATCTGTATAACCGAGCTAATATTACTACATTAAACGCGATCGTTTAGAGTGGCTCATTTTCTTTACAAACGTTCTATCTCGTTATTAGCCGTGTCCAAAACCAACATCGTCCGCGCATGCGTATTCCTAATTAAGGCTTACAGCCGATTGGAGCGGAGGCGGAGTTTGTAAACGCCAATAAGAGACAATGTTTGTGTATTAAATTTTCCATTTCGGTTTAAAAGAAAAAAAAATAGAAATCTAAACTTCTTAACTAAATGAGAAAATGTTTTATACATTAAATCAACAAATTTGTTGTAATTTTAACGCAATCGTCAAAAACCAAAATCCTTGGATAAATAAATCAACGAAAATAGTACAAGTATTAAGTAAATCGTAACATAATAGGAAAAACAATTTTCATTAATCAACTGTTTTCATTCAATGATAAAATAACACACGGTTTCATAGTGCGGTTCATCAAAAAAGAGCAAATCCGTTTAAGGTGTATTATTATGGTATTATCTTTAGTTTAACAATAATTTGAACCGACCTTTCTTTTAGATATACGGCGTTTGTCGTTACACTATGGAAATATTTTTACAGAAAAAGAAAACAACATTCCCGATTTATAAGTAAATCTTGTCTTCTGGGGTACAAGTGTTTTGTGTCTGAACATTCTTTTTTGTGTTCACTTTGTCGCCTGAACTTTAGTTCTAGACAAATAAGTTATAAATAAAAGTTTTTTTTAATAAAAAGTTTTTCAACGAAAAAAGGAACTCAGTTTGAAGAAAATTTCCAAAACTATTTTTTCTGCAAAACGCACGGCAGACGATAATATAAAAAGTCGAACTCCATCATTCCGCGATTAATTTAATAATTTATTTACGAATTCATTTTCATCAATATTGCCGTCATCACCTACAGAGAGTAACTCTACGCTGTTGTCAACATTTTATCTCCAACTTAAGTATAATTTCCCATCTAACAGTTTTGTCATATTTTATATCTTAATTCATTTACAATATTTTAATTCTTTGTCGTTAGGGTGTAAGTGATGAAACCAACGATTAGAAATGACATAAAAGTGACACATTTTTGCGTTATCACTAAATTTGTGATATTTTCTGTCTCCAAACCAGATATCAGTTTGCATCTTCAAAACCTTGTCAATATCACGCTCCATTACATAGCATTATGTACCTGGTACCGCAATAACCACTGTCAACTTGGAGACGACGACGATGTTAACGTTGAGTTATTCGTTTATAATTTATTAAAATCAAGAGTTTTTTTTAATATTTTCGTATGCAAAACTTTGAATTTAATTGCTAATATTGTATAAAATGGATAATGATTCGTTACCGCGTTAAATGTTGCCTTTATTTGATTTTTATACCTATGGCGCATTAGAGTACCATTATGATCCGGGTACCGGAGAAGATTGTTGGAAATTAAGAAGGATGTTAGTCACAATAAAAACAAGCGTCTGACGGTATCTTTTGGGTATTTTTTTTCTCAAGAAAATTTGCAGTAAATTAACAGGTATCTATGTACAATCAACACATCATCGAGTCAGAAAATGTTTTGCTTACAGACGTAATTTCTCCTGATTTTATGATATCACCTATAGTCTAATACTTCCGGTATTTTTTATATGTACATGTATATGCCATGTCTTTATTTTCAATAATTGACAATCTGGATAATTATCCTTAAACCACGCTTGCATGTTTAAAGCATAAACATTAAAATAAAAATTTCCGGAACCGACTCTGGATTCGAATGCTTTAAATTTTCGCTTATCATTTCCGTCTATCAATACGTTACTCAAACATAGGCCGATGTTGTTCGATGGATATCACAGGTTTATTTGATACAATTATGGCCGCTTAGTAATGATTACAGATATTTAGCATTAAATTTTTTACTATCATTCCGCGTTTTGCAGTTCTGTCGTTATTTCACGAGCCGTTTGTTTTATTGCTTTTCATAGATCTGATTTCTTACGCCAGTGCATCGGTCGTTTTAACAAACAGCAATTTGTTCCATTCAGTGGTAATTAGCGAGATGAAGATTACGAGTTTATGTTGCACAAGGCGAAGCATTCAAAGAAACTCCGAAGCGCAAATGACTGTACAGTGTTCAAGAATGCATTTTAGTTCTTTGAAGGTTTCTTTAGGGAATGATCGGCACGAATAACACTTGAATCAACACACCGTAAATTCAAATGACCAATCGCGTAATGATACAAAAATGTTAAATATCTTTCATCTCTATTTCCGGCTAAGTATACCCATGATGGGACTAATTTGTTTTGCAATTTCTAATCTAATGCTAAATGAAGACTTCTCTCTTTGAACACATCCCCGTAGCACCCACTACCCTGCTGTGAGGCAGGGATCTCTGGCCATTATCGAGAAATACCGGCCTAAATTAGATTCCCAGGATAATTCCATCTACTCTCAAAACTTAGGTCCCTCTATAGATAACTAACGTTAATGCGTATTTCATTTAATATGGTTATTTTTTTCAAATTATAACCCCGACATAAATGGTTGCTAAGCACCGTTTAATTGTATCTTGATAGCAGAAAGTTTCAAATTTCAGGCCCTCATATTTTCAAGGTTTTGATATTAAAAGTTACACTGTTGAAATAATAACAATATTTTACTGGTTATAATGACAGCGTATAAGCAGTGGTAATAATCAGAGCCGTTAAGGAATGCCTATACTGCGGTGGTGGTGTTGTTGGTAGTTTTTCACTCCGGATCACGACAGTAAGCCACATTGAATTCAACAGAGCACTGTTCAACCACCGCATCGTTCCTGGGCAGGCTGTCAAGCATGTTACCAGTACTAGTTGCCACCACTTTGGCAAGGAACTGAAACTTCTGTACATGCTAGAGCACAGGTACAGTGCGAATGACCGTAATAAGGATTTCATGATCAATCACAACGAAAGTGACCTGCGCCGTCCGGGAATCGAGCCCGGGGTCGCCCGATTCACAGTCCAACACTCTAAATATTGAGCAAAAGGGACGGCTTGCTTATACTGCAAAACAACCGTTTATATTTATACCAAATACTGTTTTTAGTCGAACAACTGCCCAATGAAAATCGACTATATAGACTGGCTATACTATAATTTATCACTCATCTTTAAAGGAACTCCACTGAGGTACGAAAGCCTAATAGAATAACATTTGAAATTCTTACTTAAATCAACTTTGGCACTTTAAACAGTACATGCAAAAGATAAGTAAGAAATATACTCCAAAATATACCCTTGAAAATCGTATTTTTTGTGGCTTTCTTAATCCAATTCGAGTGAAAAATGCAACGCTTCTCAATTTTTGGGTCATTTTTCACAATTCAAATAATTACATGTATTCTGAAAAAGTGATTCAGCAAAAGATCTGAATTATTGGTCTAGACCTATATCAAACCGAAAAATAATGTCCTGCCCCGTCATGTAAAAAAACTCAGTGGAGTCCCTTTAACATTTGTAACTTTCTTCTTACATTTTCTGATATAAAAATACAGTACATTTTGTGCGAACTTAATATTAAGGAACTTTTTACAAGTCTAAGACGTCCATGAAGTGTTTTTTTCTTCTAAAAATATACATAAAATGTATTTCAATATGTGTAAAAAAATAATAATATTTTAATATGACAATTTTGCACGTGCTAAAAGGAAATAACTATTCAACTGAATAATCCACATGACTGGCCAGTCAAATATTTCGAGCATCAAACTTTGACCTCACTGGTTGATTCCAGCTTCGGATTCAAGAGTGTGTCTATAAGGTCATAGCTTCCTGGACAATCGAACTAAAATAAGTCGCGTCACGACAAAACCAACACAGTGGGTTTGCGACCAGCATGGATCTAGACCAGCATGCGCTTCCGCGCAGTCTGATCAGGATCCATGCTGTTCGCTATCAGTTTCTCTACTTGTAATAGAGTTAGTAAATCCTGATCAGACTGCGCGGATACGCAGGCTGGTCTGGATCCATGCTGGTCGCAAACCCACTATGCTGGTTTTGTCGTGACGCGGGTCAAATAAAATCATAAGATGCAATGATCGTGTGTTTTTCTGACAGAAGGCGTAGTTGTTCAGTTGTCTTACAATTTCTGATAAGATTGGTTACTCCAACAACTTTTCTGTTGAGACGACTTTGAACCTAGGCATAAGAACCAGTGGTTGCTTTTGACAGTGTAATTCTCTGTGCCCGTTGCACTATTCTCAACAAAAATATAACAAACACTTACGATGTTGAACTAGTTATTTTAAATGTTTGCAACATGCCTTTAGTGAAAGGGTGCAGTTAACCAGATAAAATAGAGTTTTTACTTTTAGATAAACGCTGAAAACTGTCTCTTTATGGCGCAGTAAATTTAGAGTAAACTCACAGACTCCTCAAAGAAAACACACGTGTATATATTAAATACAACAAGATGCTTCTTATACCAAACCTCCCATAAAGAATATCAATTTAACCGAACTGGACCCTTGATGACTTAATGGCTTTTCCACACATGCACTTGGTGAGGGATCGTTTCACCAGTTTTCGGATAGTTAGCAATGTTCGGATGTTGTAAGCGTAGTAATTAGATACGGATGCCAGTTTAAGATAAATGTTGTGATTGGAAGTGTGATAGATTGGTCAATATTTTAGAACAAGTCTCCGTGAAACAACATGACACCATGTCACCGTATATTACAGTCTACTTGATTACTGGAATTTTCAAAGGGCATTGCAATGATAAAGTGTTATACGCGAGTAAATGGCAAATTTTTTAGTTAGTACATAGAATAATCCTTACAGTATATCTGTCCATTTACCCTTAGCTGCTAAATTTGAGTAATTGTTCCGCCTTGTCTTGAATTTTGAACAGTCCATTATTGCTGTAAATGGTTTCATTGTTAAAAATCTAAAATTAGCAGCAGAGTTCCTCTTACGTCCAAAAGCTAATACACACACAATTTTAAAACCTAGGAATTTCAGTATCAAAATAAAAACATTGATACGATAACCTGGCCTACAAGTTGGCCTGACTCTATATAGGTCGCAAAGGGTTATCACTTCCGGTTCGTTCTAGGAGGTAAA